TTGGCACATAAACAGACATCGTGTCGCATATCTATGTGTTCGTTTCAAGTGGTACAAAAACTAATATGCATCTTAAATAAATAGTAAAAAATTTAATTATTAACTCATAAAATATTTGTTAAAGCATTAAACTTTATCATTAGAATATTATTAATTAAACGACAATGATAATTATTGTATAAAATTTTGAAAGCCGTATATACAAATATTCTGAAACAAAAATAATGAAAGTTGTGGTGAGTGTTTGCTTCACACTATGTTTTGCTTTTTCCGTTTTTCATTGTAATGGCTTTAGTACAAAGAACACATCATATATTTGGAAGTGATGAATATCATGTTTGTGTGATTAATGGGATTTTTTTTTTACAATAACCAAGTATTAAAATAATATTTCACAAATAACCGCGTTTCGGAAAAAATTACGTAAATAACTATGTTTCGGATGACTCCCCAAAGGAGGAGCCATCTCACTTGGCGCCTCCGCCCCTAGATTTGCCCTAGGCGCCATCTCACTTGACGCCTCCCTTCACTTTTAGCCAAGTGAGATGGCGCATGCTCCTTAAAAGTGAGAGGAGACGTCATCTCACTTGGCTCCTAGGGCAAAATGCTGTTTTATAAATAATTCGTCCGTTTCTCCGAAATTTCGCACACTTTCTCGCACTGTATTTTTATTTTTTACTCTATTATTTGTGTCATGACGTCGCCTATGATTTTCAGCAGAGATGGTTACGTTATCTTCTCCGCCACGAAACCCGCGATGAAAATGAAATTCTGGCACATTCACTCCATGGAGCGTTTGAAGCGGGAGTTGATGCGATGGCTAGATGGAGACATTGCGGAGGGGGGGAAAATTCGAAGGATCCAGCGAAAACGAACAACAACCTCACATGCGACAGGGAGACCTAATGTATGGTTGAAGGAAGTCAAAACAGACAGCGATGTAATGTTGATGATGCATGGGTCAGATGAAATTGTGTTAACAGTTGTAATTTCGTAGACGGAATATAGTTAATTTTTCTTGTACGCGCAATATTTATTGTAGCAAAATCTGTTAACGGAAAACCCTAATGTTTACAACATAATTAAGGAAAGATTTTATGTATTACAATTTTTATGTGGTCGAGGTAGACGCCCGATTCGGACAATTTTTGCGATTGTGTCCGACCTGACGGTATAAACCACACTTTCTTTCCAACTTGTCAAGATCGTCCATTTCTGTTGTGATGCGCTTACTTTTGGGACGACCCTTCTTGTTCCTTCGCATTTGGTCATTGTGCCACACTATTTCGCCGTCGTATGCAGGCCAATAATCTGGTTTTGCTACCAAAGGAAAGTTGTTGTTGTAAACGTTGAGCAACGTTTCAGATTTGTAAATGTTTGACAGAAGTTGCAGCGCGTCTTGATGGGTATGAGCACAAGCAGCAATGACATGAGAGCAAGGCATACGAAATGCTTGAAACCTGCCACAATCGCACCAACGAGAAGGTAGCATGACCCTATATTCTTGTCTTGGCAGGCCTTCGTTGTGGTCGATTGTCTCTTTCACAATGAAGTTGTGGCTGTGTCGGTCAAACTGTATAACCATATGAGTGTTGGCTTTGGCACTTTCTGCCTTAATGTATTTCATGCAGCTTTCACTCCATAGTTGTCCAGATTGAAACACCGCATTCCATATTTCACCTCTTTTGGAAAATAACGCAGCCATCCTAAAATACGTAGATTTTACCAAAGCAGTGATCGGGAGGTTTCGTATGACTTTTAATATCCCATTCATTGATTCAATAAGATTAGTTGTCATGTGCCCCATCTTTGGCCATTGTCGTATGACCTAGTCCATTTTTCCACCGGAATATTTTCGATCCACCTACCGGCTTCTGGATTTGACAAATGGATCTCGTTGCGGTAATATTTGAATGTGGGTTGTGTCAATGCTGACAGAACATATCTATATTTGGAACAAATATTGTACACTAATGAGATATAAAGTCAAAGAATATTTACATTGATTAGGCATAATTAGTTTCCTATTATGCAGATTGTAATTCTTGTAAATATTCTTTGACTTTATATCTCATTAGTGTACAATATTTGTTCCAAATATAGATATGTTCTGTCAAATGCATATCCCGCATTCATAACTGCTTTCTTTAATGTTTTGTCCTTGATCTCCCTCGTGAAATTCTGGACGATATGCCTAACGCAATAGACATGCGTAGAAGGAGGGTCGTGCCAACCGTTTGCAGGATTATTTTAGGCACTTTCAATGGAGGCATGTCTGTTCGAGAACAAACAGAGATCTGGTTGAGGAGCCACGTGTGTCCGCAGATTTTTCATAAAAAAGCTCCAAGCACCACCGGTCTCCCCCTCGACAAGGGCAAAGGCAATGGGGAAAATGTTGTTGTTGCCATCTTGTGCAACTGCCATCAGTAGCGTGCCTTTGTACTTCCCATACAACCATGTCCCATCAATTTGTATAATTGGTTTGCATGATGCAAACCCTGTGATGCAAGGTTGAAATGCCCAAAACACTCGACTGAATATTCCGTTGCCGTTTAGTAGACTACCATCTTGGGCGTATGCTGGCACTGTTTCCAGAACATAAACAGTACCCGGAGAATACGTCTTCATTCCTTGTTTCCTGTGTAAACATTTCCCTTTTGCAACAATGTGTATGCATGTATTCATCTCTGCTTGAGAACGATTCTGGTTATTCAATTGCAAATGTGGTTTTTTGGTGAGAGTTATCAGAAGCTTTGGTGGTAGAACTACCATCATCATTTGCTCCAACTCAAGTTTGAATAAAGTATTATATTACATGTGATGTATAGTAGATTCAATATCTTGGCACATAAACAGACGTCGTGTCGCATATCTATGTGTTCGTTTCAAGTGGTACAAAAACTAATATGCATCTTAAATAAATAGTAAAAAATTTAATTATTAACTCATAAAATATTTGTTAAAGCACTAAACTTTATCATTAGAATATTATCAATTAAACGGCAATGATAATTATTGTATAAAATTTTGAAAGCCATATATGCAAATATTCAGAAACAAAAATAATGAAAGTTGTGGTGAGTGTTTACTTCACACTATGTTTTGCTTTTTCCGTTATTCATTTAAATGGCTTTAGTACAAAGAACACATCATATATTTGGAAGTGATGAATATCATGTTTGTGTGATTAATGGATACATAATCAACTCTTCTAATCCGTTAATCATTTGGTATTCATCTAAGGAAATGGATCTTAGTACAAACGCATGGATTTTCAGATTAGAATTTTAAAAATACACGGATTTCGACGGATATTTTATGTATATTTAAAAAAAATATTGAGTTAATGTAAAATAATTTTGTTTTTTTTTTTAAATAATAAAATCTTTTGATAAAACAATTTTGTTTTTTTATTTATATTTTTATTATATTATGAAAACAAAAACGTGCGTACTGCACCAGTATCCATGCGAACGTACGGGTAACACACCAGTACCATGTGAACATACGGATAATCATACCAGAATTTGTGTATCTCACAGGTTATTATATTTTCTTTTGCAAAATTAAAGAAAATAAAAATAAAAATATTTATATTATATTTTTGTAGTTATTTATTTTAGTAGTAAAATATGTTACATAAATTTATTATTAGATGATAATTATTTTTTAATACTATTTATTAGTAGATGAAATTTATTAATTTTGTTTAATCTACGTAAATATTTAAAATAATCTATGAAATCAAACACAAAAAAATATGTTATTTTTTAATTACTTATGTTATTAATATTTTTATTTTTAATTTAAATTTTTTTTTTAAATATAAATGAAAAATTTATTTATATATCATTGATGTAATTATTTTACTAATATATGTTATTAATATAAATAAGAGAAATATATATTTTTTTAATAATTTAATAAAAACAAATTTCTAAATAAAATATAGAATCTTAAATATATTTTATTTTTGTAAATGAATACAATTAATTTAAATATTTTTATAATTAATATTAAAAATTATATTTATGATTCAAATATAAATAACATTATATCTCTCTTTTGAAAATAATAACTCTTTTGTTGACTATATAAATCTTACATTATTTATATTCTTTTGGTATTATCAATATATATCATTTCTATCAATTATATACTATTTATCTATCAAGAATAGAAATTATAATGAATAAAGTAAGTTGTATATTATTGAAATATGGTAAATTCATAACTTTTGAATGAGGGTATATTTTAATTGTAGCTATTTTTTTTCCATACATAAACTCTTCTTAGCTCAATGCGAATGTCAGACTGATACCCGTTTGCCAAGACCTTTGGGTGAAAAATGCTATTAGAAGAGCTGCAGATCAAGGAAGCTGTCAAGATCGAATGGTTGGTTGATAATAAATCAGCAAATGACTTGGCTAATCACCCAATAATGAAAGAAGCAGACATATTGAAAGAACTTTAAGAACCTACCATTTTCTAAGAGATTGAGCGAGCAAGAATAGGTGGGAAATCAAATATTACAAGAACATTTTGACAAAACCATTGATGAGAGATTTGATTGCTTAAAAGAATTAATAGGCATGAGGTAGCTAGCTTGTGTGAATTAGGAGGAGAATTGAGAATGTAATTCACTTTTAGTAGCAATCTTGTATTTTAACCGTTTTCTAGTTGTTAACTTCTTTAAGAGAGAGAAATGCATGAATTTGATAATGTTACAATGCAACTACACTAGGTATTAATAAGTCAAAATAATGTTGCCATTATAATACAATCAGATATCTGAATAGAGGAATCACTAGAAAACTGTCTCAAAAAGCTTAAAGAAAAAAGAAAAAAAAAAAGTAAAACCTTCATTTAACATTGTGAAAGAAAACATTCAACATTACTTGAAAGGTAAAGCATATATAAATTTCTTGTGTTCTTCCAAATTAACAGTTATAGTCTTAATAGTTAATTTTCCTGTTCCGAACTTTAGTGATCTTAGCACCTCAATCAGCTCTTACTTTAGCTCCAAGAAATGCCTTCTGGAAATAAATGAAAGATGACAAACATCTTAGATAAATTCACATAACATAGATATTATAAACAAGAAAACACAATGTTATACACGAGGTTTTAGATAACCGTCGCAGTCGCGTAAAGACCTTCGCGGTTTCGTTAAATACAGGTGTTGCGATACTGATTATGATTGTCGTGGTGTGAATTAACCACTACTATTTTTTTTGTCATAAAAACGGTGAATAAAATTGTCGGTATCAGCACTTTCTGATATATTTTTGTGGTAACGGTTGGAACCTTGATTATATGACTAAGTCAATTAATGGATTAAACTGAACAATCAAGATTTTTGTAGGATCACTAACCTTGAATGAAGTGGCACTCCTAAAACCAAACCTAGGCATTTTATGATCCACAGCTTTTAATATCTGAAAAGAACACATAAGTGTTTCATCAACACTCATCATTGCTCCAGCATTGTCAAACTCCCCACAGTAATTAGGAGCAGAAAAAACAGTCACAAGTTGCCTATTAGCAAAAAACTCATATCCATCTTCAACAACCTATACAAAACAATTCACAAGCAAGTTAATTACTCTCGATTTTATAAAGACTAAAACGATACGTAACACGGGATTAGAAAAACGAGTTTGCAAAACCTGGTGAGCTCTGCAAACCAAATCAAGATCATGCCTATGAAGAAACTCTTCAACCTTACTTGCACCGTAAGTAAACGAAACGCCGCGTTCGTTAACTCCCCAACCTTGAACATCTTTACTAGGATCAGACCACAAAAGATCGCATAAAAGACCGCTTTCAGGAACTTCAGTCGGCCTTGGCAAGTTACTTATCTGTTTCAAACTATGCAACTCAGGTGACAATCCACCATGCATACATATAATCTTATCATCAACGATAGCCGCGACTGGTAAACAGTTGAAACAGTCCGAAAAGATCTTCCATACTCTTACATTGAATCTCCTTTTACATTCATCGTAAAATCCATAAACGCGATTTATGGAAGCGCATTCGTGGTTTCCTCTTAGAAGGAAGAAGTTTTCAGGATATTTGATTTTGTAGGCTAGAAGAAGACATATTGTTTCCAAGCTTTGTTTTCCTCGGTCTACGTAGTCACCTAAGAACAAGTAGTTGGAACGAGGAGGAAATCCACCATGCTCAAATAGGCTTAATAGGTCTGGATATTGACCATGGATATCTCCTTGTGAAATGAAGCAACATATTAGCTAAGGGATTCAATGCATATGCATTATAATTTAAATTTTAAACCTTAATCACTTTGACATATACCTTAATCACTTTTAAAATCACTCGCATGATTGTTTGTGATAAGCTAACATTGTAAAAATTTTAGTACCTTGTTCACTACAAGAAAGCTAGTAAGAGGCGTTTGCCGAGAGCCGACGCTATGAGGCATGAAATAGATGTATAGCGTCGGCTTAAGCAGATGCCTCCGATATGTTTTTACTAAACAAAATATTTGTTTTGACACCAATAGTACTATTTTCATATAAACATAAACAAAAGAGATTATGAAAAATCTATTGAAAAGAAAGAACATGAGGTTGAAAAAAGGTTTACCACAAATCTTAATTGGTGCCTCAAGTTCCAAAAGATTAGGCTGCTTCAAGAAGATATCTCTAGAAACCATACAAAGTTGCTTAATTTCTCCTTCTGAAAGCTGAACTTGTTTCCCAGGTCTTCCTCTAACTTCAAGCAACCTATTAATGATACCATCAAGAACCCTTCTTTCCATACTCAAGTAAGTAGAATAAAAAACATGGGATTGATGTTGTTGTGTGCCTTATATAATTTACATCACTTTAAAACAAAGGCTATAACTTCAACTCATAGAATGGAATCAATGCTTTGGATTTTGATATACAATCTTTTGAGGTTCATATTTGGTTCTGATTCTAAGCTATTGGAAAAGGGTGGTTGGAGTCGAATTGGAAAGATAAGAATATATTCGGTTGAGGAAAGAGTAAACTTGAAACATAAACAACATTTTAATGAGAAGCTCAATATGCATGTAGGGAGGGAAAGAATGAAGAATATAAGTTGAGGGGAAGGAATAAGGAGTAAAGTGGAGTGTGACTAATAGCTAACTAGGGAATGAGTGGACAATTGCATGATCCTAAAGCAGAAATTGAGATACACTAAGATTTTAGTGAAGAGAATAATGATTAGTGGCTAAGCACTTGTTGTTGAAGTGCTATGTGTGAGGCCAAGTGTAACAGTTTAGATTAATCTAATCTATCCAGAAACACACATATTGTGAGATGTGATGTAATATTTTCTAGATTTCTTATTTTTTTGTACATGATTTTCAGAATCTCTATTTGAGAAATACATGACCATGAAATAAAAATTTGCTGAACGACACATTTGGCTGCTCTTCTGCTATGTATGGGCCAGGGCCAGGGCCATTTAGTTAGTTAACTATTCCTTCTCTCTCAAATTATAAGTCATTTTGTCAAAAATATTTGTCATAAATTATAAAGCATTTTACAATTTCAATATAACATTAATGACTTTTTGTCTAATATATTCTTACTATTTATTTCTCTTTCTTCTTTCAATTCTTTTAATTTCGCTTTCTAATGTAATTAGAGCATTTTTTGTAATATCACATCTAGTATTAGCATCAAAATCAAGGGTGAGGCTTATGAATCCAAATTACGGAACTTAATCAGCTAGAACTCCAACAAACAAGGAGTAACTGGCCATAAGGCATTGGAATTGGGTCAACTTGATGCTCAGGCTTCTTTTGCCTATGTTGATAGGCCTTGTCCCACGGGTTCATTTTGGAACTAAAACTGGTTGTGGACAAGGAGACCCAAGAACACCAAGTTGTGAAAGAGATCTATAAAAAATCTCGTGATTTGAAAGAGATCCCATAGGATAGAGATGAATGAAAACTTTTGTTGCAACAACAAGTATAAGATTTCCTTCTCTTCTCAGTATTGTTTTCAGAATTTCCATGACCAAACTCAACTGAGTCTTCAACTGGTTGTTTTTCTCTTTCAGGAGTTCTTGATCACAGGTCATGGCTGGCATATCTCCCACAATCAGCCCCATCTGAATCTTTATCTCGACCAATTCCCACAAAGTTGTTCCATAATTGATCTCTGAGCACGGAGTGATGAGAAGTCAGATTTGAAATTCTGAAAAGAATACCAAGTCCGAATAAGAATCCCCCAACTCTAAGTACCTGTTATGAATGCATGAAGATGTATGAGGTGCATGAGTGGATGCAATGCCATGTTCGGTCATTTTCAAGGAACTTACATGCTTTGATTAAGATTTAAGCAAGTGAGAGATGTAAAAACTTCAATAGAAGGCTCAAAGGCACGATTCCTTGGAAAAGGAAACAACGTGTAAGTTAGTTCTTTTTCATACACATTTCTCATGAATACTATAATGCAAATTCAACGGTCATGAAATCAAAGCTCCACAATATCTGAATAAATTGCCATGTTGTTGTGTTGCCTCTGAATAAGTTGAATAGAACATGATCAAAGGTCCGACATCATTTCAGAGTACCAAGAAATCAAGTCTGAATATCATAGGATCAAATTTCTGGCACCAATATTAGAACTCAAAGGAACCAAGTATCAATATCATAAGATCAAATGTTCGGAACCAATTTAGAAACCAAGTCTGAATATCATAGGATCAAAGGTTCGACACCAATTCGGAAAACAAAGGAACCAAATATCAAGACGGGCAACATCTGTATCTGTAAGGATAATTCCCATCCCATCTCACAGGTGAATTTTAATTAGAACAGGGGTTTCTAATGGACAATCGGAGTCTACAACCCTCTTGTGTCAACACCACGTCTAGTGCATAAATGTAGGACAATGGTATTCCCAAGAGAACCTCGTCTAAGCATTGTATTTCATGTCAACTCTTGTGTGTCGAACGCCACAGTAGTTAATGTGACTATCCACTCTAACCCTAGGTGAACACTAACCTGAGTAATGAGCCTTTTACTTCATAGTAACATCTCACCCCATCTGTAAAAGAAAATCCAGCAACCAACACAACAAATATATTCAGAATATGGAAAGCAATAAAATGCAACGCATGTACAATAAGTAAGTAAATAAGTGCAATACATAAAGCAGATAAAGCATATAGATAAACACCTAATGAAAATAAAACAGACAAGAGTTAGGATTGACTCACTTAGGTTTCCCCAGTGAAGTCACCAGCTGAGGAAACTAAGAAAATGAACAATGAAGTCTCCATCAAATGTTATTTATCCCAAAGAAGGGAAGGGAAAACATTGAGTAAACCTGAAGTGAGCGAGAACAAGGTCTCGCGACAAAGAAATGGGTACGAGAGTCGATTACGCAAGGGGAAGGTATTAGCATCCCTCACGGCTGTGGTACTCCACGTAATCCACTCTTGCTATTCTAATCAAACGATGTGTTTAAACTATGCTAAATATTACAAGCTAAAGGAATGCATGGATACAAAATGAAATACAGAGAAAACAAAGATTTTAAATAGTTGTGCTCGCTTAGGCCCTGCAACCTAATGCCTACGTATTTTTTTAAGGAATCAGAGGTCTTAGTTCGGCCTAAAGGTTTTTTTTTTGCTTGTGTTTTTTGATCTAATGATGTTAAATTTTGCATTCTACTGCAACTAGACCTTTAGAGACTCACACATCTATCGTAGAAAGGAACTAACATGTTCTTATTTGAAAAGTTTTTCTAAATAAAAAGCCCGAAGGCGGCCCGAAGGTAAAAAGGTTTAAATTGTTTATGTGTTTTTGGTAGGAGATCCCTCAAGTGGTTCCCCTGGGAGGTACTTGAATCCGTCTCCTTTAAGTTTTGAGAAATATTCGAGACACGTATCATGCTAAAGTCTATGACATGAAGACCCTTGAATGATCGAGTCAGAGGCCTCGGATCCGAAGTCCTCTCCATATACTTAAGGCTCGTGGTGCATTACATGTATCTTTATTCATTAAGTGTTTTTTAGTTTTCCAACAAAAAAGTTTTAGTTTTAAGGATGCAAAAGGGGAATGAAAAATCTAAGGGAAATTCTATTCCTAATGTTATCATATAATTATGGTCCTATAGTTAGAATTGAAAGGGAATTCTACCTAATGTTAGCATGCATGGTTTAAAATGCTAATGTCTACATTGGTTATAATAATGAACCAAGTGAACCTAAGGTAGAATATAAAGGCAAGAACAAGAATCTAAACAACAAAACAAGATGGCTTATAAGCCTACCAAACACCTAAGTGTATCACCTAAGAGCAAGCAATGATCAAACAAGCCTAAGCCCTAATACGTACTTCAAGTCATCAATCAAGTAGTACGAATGTGTCACATACAAAACACTAATATTCCCATAAGGGTCATGCGTAAGTGGTTCTACCCTGAGGCATTACAAACCATTTCAAAAGCAATCAATACTTTCACTAGCACTAAAGGCTTAAAGTATAAGGATAATACCAATGCTTAACATACAAAGGTGATATGACTTAGGCAAGACAGAGACCTAAACAATGAAGTAAGTACACATCCTAAAGCTCATAGAAATGTATCCAAAATATGGAGAAAGAATTGCAAAAGAAACATGGAAGGGAAGGCTAAAGAAACTATACAAATGGCAACTAGTTCCAAGAGTTTACAAGACTATTCCTAAGAGAACATGCAAGAAAGAATGAAGTCTTGATACTCAATTCTAATTGAGTGACTTGTCGATCAACAATAAATAAAGGAAAACAATAAGTATCAAAAGAAATAGTTTAAAAGCCAACCAACACCTTTGTGTCTAACACCAATTCTTGGATACCTCTAGGACTTCAGATGAAAATGCATGAAAAAGAGGTAAAAGAGATTCAAGTGGTACATGACGGAGAAGGTTCGTTGCTTATTCAAAGCCACACAAGCAATAAGAAAACTCTATCAAAAGCTTCCATGAATTTTCTTGATGAAAATTATGCTATTTTCTAGCTTCGAAACATCTTGAAACTCTTAAACAAAACCATCCTGCAATCGTGCCAACACATATCATGGACCGAACACTACTATCATACACAAGTGGCATTAAGATATATCAAGCAAGGATCCAAAAATTAGCACAATAATTGATTATTAAAGAAATATGACTAATTTCCAAAAATTACAAAGCATTTACTTTTGTTTTTTCATGTATCATTTCATCGCCAAAGAATTTATTGAAATTAATGGCAATAAAAATTAATAGAAAACAATTAAACTTGTAGACAGAGGGGTGATAATCATGTTACAAGGAGTTAATTCTAAAAAAATTAAGTTCCAGGCCTATTGAAGAGAGATCCATGAAGCAATTTTGTTCACAAAGATTCAACTCAACAAACAAAAAAAAGCTGATGGGCTTCAGGTGGACAAAACCAGTCCAGGTCCACAACCAATTTCAAATCTTCATCTAGTTTTTGTTTCAGCATATATTTATTTAATTATGGTTTAAAATTGAAATTGTAAAATAAATAATAATAATATATAAGATAACAAATGTGACACGGTAGCATGAACAAGAATTAGGGTTCATGTTGTGACTTTTCACATTCCAAAAAGGGATTCTTCCCTCTCTTCAATTCGCGATGCGACAACTTCTTCCTTTTATGTTCGTTTTCCGATCAACCTCCGCTTCCATTTGCGACTTCCTTTCTTACTTCAGTCATCGTAATTCTTCAACCGAAGCCAGTGATGTAACCGAAACAAGTACTTTCAAGAACATGTATATTTT